CAACTTCATTTCAAAGGGAATAACATTCATTATGGGGAAACATTAGGGGATCATAATTCCAATGCATTTTCAGTTAGTGAAGATAAAAATAGACTGGGGGAGGGGAAACTATTTCTTGTCAAGGAAGCAGTAAAGCAAGGAAAGAGATGACCTAATGAACGACTTGAACTAAAAATCTGAGATGTGGTTTCCAAACATTTTCAATTCTCTCATCTACTAGATTAGTTCTCTGGTTTATTTCCTGTATTTGTATCAAATAAATAATTTACACCATATCCTATGAGGAGGGATGGAGACCGGTAAGTAGAATTTTCTATTATACATTCAATAGGATGGCATCTGTGCAATGCATCATGTAGCTGATATTCTGGTCTGAAAAACAAATGCAGAGGACCTCAGGCACCATGATTTTTCCCAATTTTCTGTTCCAAAAAAACCTGGTTCAAAGAGGAGATGGCAAAGACGAAGTGGATTTGCAGAGCAAATGGGGAAAGAAGACTTCATCAGATATTCAGGGAGCAAGGAGGATGCATTCTGAACAGTGTGGCTGACCTGTCTCTATCAAAATATGGCAACTTGAACCCCGTCTCTGCCTTGGCAGCCTAGAAATGCACAAGACCCATTTTGAAGCAACTGACATTAAATAAAATTTGCTTAGATGTGTGGGAAGGAGAAAATATGAATGTTTTTAAATAATTGTTCACAGGAATATTTATTCAAACTCTGGTAGCCTAAATAGAAAACACTTGTCTAAAATAAGAAAAAGTTTGACATGTTTTGTTTTCCTAATACTTACCAAAGAAAATAAGATTCTACAAGCATTGCCCAAACAGTGGTCCTCCTACAAAAAGAGTCTTTTAAGGAAAATCCAAATCCTCCTTATTCTAACACATAAAAGAGTGAAGATACCCAAAAGAAATACCTGTTCCTAAACATCTTCACAACATTAACATCCCCACACATGTGTCCATATCCAAATACATGGCTCAATAGAGTATAGATGTGCATACGTTGAATGGTTAAAAAAAAAAAACCTGGAGCTAACTGTGATTCCTACAAGACTACAAGATCTAGGATTTGGCTCTGAGATTGCTTATTCTTAGACTTAAGGTTTTGTTCTTCATTACCAATTCCTTGAAAGTTTAACTCTAAGATAGTTTGTATAATATGTATAAATGCAGAAACAAAGAAAGGGGACAAGAAAAGTAAAAAGCAAAAATAAAAGCTATTATAATGAGACGTTCTAATAACAATTGTAATAGCTAATATAGGTTGAGTGCGTTCTGAGATTTCTAACTCAGAGGTTTACATACATTACCTTAACCACAGCAATAACCCTAAGAAGTTGTATGGTCATCATTTCCATTTTCACAGATGAGAAAACCAAAGCTTACAAAGGGTAAGTAACTGTTTGAGACCAATAGGATGTAGTGTCAATAAAACTGGCTCAAGAAGACAACTGCCATGTAAGAGCACCTCCCTACAGTCTATAGATAGACTCTAGAAGGTTAACGCTGGAATAGACCTTCAATATCCAGAGGCAATCCTGCCTCTCCCACAGCAGAAAAGGAAACTGAGGTGCAGAGCAAAAGCCAGGATGGCTCTACTTTACTTCTGTGGTATGTACATTATCCCCCAGAAAGATATGTAATGACATGATAAATGATATTGTGGTCTGCACTATTTCTATTTGCCTTGGTAATAAATCATCAGAACATTGAAATGCCCTGTATTCGGTGAACAGACACACTGTCTTTTCTTTCATGTGAATTGTAGAACTAAGCACACTGACCTAGCTTGTTGGAGGAAAATATTTTGGTCTTCAGATTCCCTTGAATAGGATTTTTAAGGATCAGCTGAATAGAGGTCCAATCAGTCGTGGCGTTCTGATGCCATTGTGTGTCCAGACAATGAAAGTAGCCCCTTCAATCTAGAAGTGAGAAACCCTGGTAATGCTGTGAAGCTGATGTTGATTTGCAGGAAACCCCTCCATATTTTCAGGGACCACAACAATGTAGCCAAGTTAATCTTGCACTCGGGGATTTAGAGCTGTATGAGGGCAGAGACTCAGTTCACAGATGAAGCAAGACATCCTTAGAAAGACTTTGGTCTATTATTTCTATTTCAGAAGTAAGAAGCATTTAAAAATTCACCATTTATCTAATTGTGGAACTGGGTTGCCCCTATATCCTACTTGACATTACCAAGACTGTATCTTAAGTCAAAGCTTCCTGAGTTTGACAAGAATAACTCTTGTTTAAAAAAAAGTTAAATACAGGAGGAAAACCTTTTATGACTTCACTGTTTCATTCAGAGGCCAAAAAGCATCCACACATACTAAACAAGATCATATTTTCCTTATTTCTTGTAAGGTATCCTTAGCAACTCTAAAGAATCATCATGTTTTTATTTATCAAACACTGATGCTGCCCAAGGTTGAAAAAATTTAATTTAGTAACTGAATTGTAGTCACCCAGTGTTTCGGGGATAGATTCTGTAATACAATTTATGTACTTGATCCAACATTTTATATTCTGAAAATATGCCAAGCCTGTCTCTTAGGCTTTATTGTTTTAGAACTACTACTCCTTGTTGCTAAGTTTTTGAGCTTCTGCCTCTCACTTGTTCCAGAACACCTTGTGCTTTATTCAGGGAGAAGTCAGTGGGAACAGTCACACCATTTTTCCTGCTTTGGGAAAGCCGCAGGTCTCTCTGCTCACTTTCTCTTGTCTTCCTAAATGAGAGATAAAGTTTGGGACCTGGTGATGCCATTTTATATTGCTCAAATTTATAGATTTTTAAATGCAGACAGAGTGTTATATAAAAACCCCTGGGCTGTGGAAATAGGCCAGCCTGTGTTTTGTATGAGACACTTAGCCTTTCTGAGCATTCCTCATCTCTAAAATGAAAATAATGATTCCTACCTCATAAGATTGTTGTGAAGCATAATAATGTAAGGGTATACTGCCTTGCATAGTAGATATCCAAGAGTTGGTAGTCACCATTATTATCAGTTTTCCAAAAGATAAGGATTATTTCCAGTAAATATGTCTTATTTAATACTCCGCCAAAGAGGATAGAAGAGCAGGTATCAACTGTTAACCAAACTTGAACTGAGACTTCCTTGGGCTATGCACAAACAGCTAGACCATAGCTCTCACCTCAGTTCCCAAGAAAGGTCCAACTAATCTGAAGAACATTGCACACTATGGGGAGAGGAGCAGAAGTAAAGTACTTCAGATTAGGAGGTGATTTTCCCAAATGCTTCAGGCACTTGGCCCTCCAGAACCAGAGGTGAATCAAGGTGGCCTTTCTAATATCCCTGCTGTTCCCCTCACCCAGCTCTCTAACAGAACCAAAGAAACTAATTTCACTGGGGTTTACCAAACAAAAGTGCTCCACATAATAACTTTAGGACTTTTGGAGTCAGTGGCACAAGAGCCTATCACGCCCTCATACTTCTGACTTATGTTTATGGATAAGGATTTTTTAATGTGAGCTGCTAAATTAATATTACAGTCCTACCTCACTACTACAGAGATATATTTTTTAAAGGCCTAGAAGATTTTAGTTTGTCAGCACATCTAGACAAAGGTGTATTAAAGACCCTCTGTTGCCTATTTTAATACATATTGTTTAAGAATAAAATATAGGCTAATACTCATTCATAATGAGGAACAAAATAAGAGATACAGAAATTTGGTATGCAATATGTAAAGACCTGGGCTAAACCTAGAAGACACAGACATGGAAAAATGAAAACCAGAATGCTAAAAAGTAGAGCTGGGTGAAATTTCTTTCTTTTAAAATATTTTAATTTGGTATATTATTTTTAGAATTGATATAATTCCAGCACTGAGAGTGGGAAACACTAATCTTCTAAAGGATTTTTAAAATAAATGTCAAATTTTTCTATTAACAAAAATTAAAACAAATGAAGACAGAATATTTTAAGGTCCACTGCCTTATTCCTTCAGTTTTAAATCCACAATGATGTGCACACATTTATATAATGGAGTTATTAATGTACACACTGGAAAAAGCTAACATACTTCTATGGTATTATTACTAATGATGCAACATTGGAAAAAGAGGCATCTCAATTTTTCTTTCCATCATAATGAATTATAATATTTTAGTATTCAGTCACTCAAAACTAAAAGAGAAAGTAATAGATTCGAAGACAAAGTTGGTATCCAAGGATATCTAGACAAGCTAGGAAAAAAGACCCACCCCCACATGAAAGTATTTAACAGGTGTTAATGTAAAGCAGTTCCCCTTAGATACGAAAAGGCAACTAACCGCCAAAGCACAGAGGTGGAACATCTTACTAAGAACAAGGAGATTAGACGGAGGGCTTTCGTTGCCCACAAATTCAGTAGAAGCAAACAGTGTGCTAGAACCGCCATATAAAGTAATTTTAGCTCTACTTTCAGAGCAAGGAAGGTACCTGCTTTCCAGCAGAGTACTTAAGTCAGAAACTTGAATGAGATGTTACTAAAGGATTCCCTCAAGTAGTCTTGGCAAAATTTTTTCCAACTCTACATGTTTGTAACCTCTCAGTTCCCAACGTATTAATAGACCAAGGGAAGGATTCAGAATTCAGAATACATGAATTCTACAAAGGATTCAAGAATGGGTTTCAAGAGACCTGAAAACTCTCTAGAATTCTGTTCTAGAGAAATGTTCTATTCTTCATGAAATAATAATTCAAGGAATGCTAAAGCTAATGCTTTAGATCACTGCATCTCAAAGAGGGTAATGTCAAACCCCAGAAGACAATGTACTACTGCCCAAAGAATCATCCCAAGTCTGTAAGAACAATTCAAATTTTCCATAAAACAATCAAGTAGTCGAACAAGTCTCTGGTGATTATCTCAAACTCCATTTTACATATAAGCACAAATTATTTTTACATAATTTTGACATATGTTATATTTTCCAGATATACAACTACAGTGGACACTTTTCTTTCTGCAAGTTTACCAAGGGTCACTCACCATTTGGGAAAATCGTGTTACGGACAACCGTGCAGCGGGTAGGTCTGGATTTTCCCCAGCAACACCTCTGTCAGTGCACAGCTGACACACTGGGATGAATCTACCCTGTAGGAGCAAATATACTTATTTTAAAAAGTAAAGCATAAAGAAAAGGATCCACAATAATCAGTTGAACAGTTTTCTCTTAAATCAAAATGTATTCATTATAAGATGGTGCAAGCATTTGACTTCTTCATTCTGTAGTTGTCATGATGGAGAAATAGATATTATACTTGTGAAATCTTTCCTTTACAGTTAGGTCTTCTCGCCCCTTCCAACCGCTCTTCCTTCTGTGTGAAATAACGTGTTTGAGTAGGTTACATTAGTCAAGATCTTTATTCCAGAGTAAAATAGTAAAAGAGGTATTACAATTAAGAAGAGAGGGTTGTTGGCACCAAACACTGTCGAGAATCTGCTCCCCATATATGTCCCCAGTATAACATTTCCAAAATCTCCTAGGAGTCATTAATGTTTACTGCAGTGTTAAAAGAGGGTCCAGCATTGGGTTGTGTGCAGTGATCTGTGCGCCTCCGCAACAAGACGTAAAGCAAACAAAAAACCGGTCTTCTTTTACACCCGAATCCCACCGAGGTTGCTCCGGAGAAGGACCCCGCCCACTTGGCGTTCACCTGCTCTGCACACAGTGGGTCTTCGGAAGCTGGAGCTGGAAAGCTTGACCGCCTCTCTACTCAGCGTCCATCCTTGACCCCAGACGGGGTCACGGGACACCTTCCCTAACTTTGACCCCACAAATAGGGCCGCCGTGGCCCCTGACTTCCTCTTATTAGTGGTATTTTTTTTTAAGATAAAAAATGTAAATCATTACTCAGCTCAGCTCAGTCACCAGGCAAACTGTGTTTAATAAATTAGCTTAATCTATTCCGCAAGTGGTTTGTGAGTGCAGTGTTTCCTCCAGTTAAGGAAAACATTTATATTCTCGCTTTACCCTGCGTTCCCGGGCTCCCAGGAACTCCCCGGGGCGGCTACAGGGGGGTGGCTCGAGAGCGGTGAGGGGCGGCTCTTGGTCGGCCGCCTGCGAAGACCCCCATCTCGAGGCCTGGGGCGGCGGCAGGGCGGTGGCCCCCTCCTTTGTCCCCGACTGGCCCCCGGCAGCTGCCCCGGGCGCGGGTACCCACCGGGCTACCTCCCGGCTCGCTCCCCACCTCTGCCCCCACCCGGCACACATTCCACTCTTCCAAAGGGGCCTCTTTAACTGCTCCCCATGAAATAATAATTCATTATGTCACCAGGAGGGAAGAAAGGGAGTCTAAGTGTCTTGATGGGATTAGAGGAAACCCCCGCAGAGATGATTTAGGGGCCGTGATAATTCATTTAATAGGGGCCTGGGGCAAATTGCTAGACAGGGAAATGGAACTGAATCAGCCCAGAAAGGGCGCAGGACAAGGCTGTGTGGGAGAGCTGGCTTCATTAGCAATATTTAAGAGATTTCATTTAAGAATGAGTCATAAAATGCAGTACTATTTTATCCACCTGGTTTGGTGGCCTTTAGCTTTCCTCTGCATGAATATTAAATTTGAAATGGCACTACAGCAACACATTTTGGAAAGTGTTCTTTGGGCTGTTATTTGTATGGTTGGTTTAGTTTCTCGTTTGTTAACCTTTTAAAATGAATATCATTGAAAATGGATAACTGTACAACCAGAACTTGAGAAGATTAGGGAGAATATAATGCTTTAGAATAGGTTGTTACTAAACTGGGTAAAGGATTTAAGTTTTTATTGATCAAAACACAAAAGGCATAGAGAGTGAGTCAGTAAATGGCAAATTACTTTGACAATTCCCAATTTTCATGCAGATTTTGTGAAGCTACCCCATTCAAAGCCACCACCCGCAGCCAGGATGACCCACAAAGCAGTGAACGCAGATGGGAGTTGCCTACAGACACATTGAAAAGTCAAACATTCTTCAGGAAAATACTTACAAAGAGTGTTTTCTTGGACAGATATTATTCCATTTTGTTTCCAAGAGGCAAAGACAAACTCTAGTTTGATTGGAAAACTATTTCATTCATATGTAAATTTTATCTATTACGGGTGGGAGTGTGGGGGGGGGGGAGGTGGCTTACAAACCCAAGAAATTTAAATGTGGTTCCAATTACAACAATCATGTAAAAAAATAATAATTCTCTTCATGTGTGTGTTTTCCTGTTTGGTTTCAATGGCTACTTTCCCACACTATCTGCTACTAAATTAGAGAGTCCTAATCAGGAAACATTTTAGTAAATATACAACCTTTACTTCACTGTAGCCCATATTTGTGTGACCTAAGGCTCTTCCCTTCACATACCTTATATTTGCAAAATAAAACATTAACTTTGATCCTCCCTCTTTTAAAAATAAAAATAGCTCCCTCAATATGCTGCATCATTTTCCTTTTAAAATCACAGCTGCATTCTGCTATTTTAACGAAACAACTGGCAGGTTGCTGCTTTAGCCACACAGGATACATAGATGCATAATTAATATGTTCTTTAAAAGACTTTCTTAATCAAAAAAGACACTAAATATATGTAAAATTATTCACTTACATATATTGGTTTGTGTGATTTTCCACAATGACAGTAAAGTTGGTAGCTAAATGTGTTTTTATATATAACAGAACTTAGTAAACGTGTTTTGTAAGGCATGCATTGTGAGGGTTGTATTAATATTTGTGTTCCTCCAGTTTATATTCTACCATCTCCTAGTAAAGAAGTTATATTTTATACAGAGTTGCAAACCACTTTGAAATATATCTATTTCAAATAAAATAAAGGTCACTAATGTACTATATAGTCTGTCTCTGGACAAAGGAGAGCATCATTTAAGCTTGATTAGTCCCTTCAGAGGCTCTTCCTGGTCCTTGGGCTTGTGACTGTTCTCAGGCCTTCCCTTTAGAGAGAAGAAATCAGCACCAGTCACTAAGAGTCAATCAGTGCTGGGCCAAGTTCTGAAAAGGTAGCTCTTTAATTTAAGATCTTTCATTCTTTCCTTCCTTATGTAAAAAGTCATCCTAACCCTGACTAATTAAACTCACCAAAAGATAACTGTTTGCAATATTTATTTTTGCTCTCCAGAACAGGATTTAGTTGCCAGTTAGAAAACCAGAAAGCTAAGGAGTTCTGTGAAATGGGTATGCAAACATTTCCAAGCTGCTGACTCTTGGAGTAACTGCCAGTGTTTCAATGACACCACAGATTTAAACAATTTCAATCACTGAAAACACTTTGCCATCAGATGATCTGCTGGGAACTTGTATGCAGATGCAGGGATCTGGAGGAAGGAGCTACAAACGCAGACTATTCTGTTTTTCAAAGCCTCTACACACCATCCTCAGAACACACTAAGTCATATATTTACCAACAGAAGAGACAGGAAAATAACACTATGCACATAACCACATATTTGGGACAAAATAGTAAATTCAAACAAAACAGGGAGTGGGTTGGCCAGGAGTGTATAAATACTTCTGAAGTCCCAGTTTTTCTAACAATAAATTCCAGCATTTTTTCCTCATTACAAAACAAACAAAGATAGAGAAAATACTTAATTACTCAAATTATCTTCTTTCTTAAATAAGGTAATATTTAAAATACTAAGTATTATTCCTAGGACCCACAGACCTTTAAAAAAAAAAAAAAACACCTTCATGTGAGTGACCCTGACGAAGTAGCACTTGCAGAAGCAGACAGACCTCAGCATTGCCCTCCAGCCTCACCCAGATGCAACCTTGGACACCAAGTCCATAACAAACCACAGGAGAGCACCAATTTGGAAATCTGAAGCCACTTCATTTTAATATGGGGGCAAAATACATCAAATGTCATTAAAATAAGTCTTTACTATAAATTGGTCCAAGATTTGTGGAAAATAATTTGTCAATATGTATCAAAAACCTCTAAATAATTTAATCTAACAATTCACTTAATTTAATCTAATAATTCCATCTCTGAGACTAGCTCCCGGGGAGGTCATCTGAAATGTAAACAAAGATGTATTTAAAACAATGTTTATCTTTCATATTTATAACAGGAAAAAATTAGAAACCACCAAAATAGCCAATAATAGTAGATAGTAAAGTATGGCATTATACAATGTATTTTAATAAATTCATATTTGATTTCATATATATAGCATGCTCTAAATTGTGTAAAACTACAGAAAGGAGAAAATATTAATATGATTATCTCTACGTGGTGAGAATATGTTTTTCCCTGATATTTTGTAATTTTTTAAAAATGAGGATTTGCAACAGGGTGGTCCCCAGGAAAGGGGGAGGTTCCAGGTTCCCTGCCCCACCCAAGGAAGGGTGGAGCTGAGCAGGAAGAGGAGAAGCTGGAGAAGAGACTGAGGAAGGAAGCAGGATGGAGCCAGGAGACCTGGAGGAGGCGCGTGGAGCCTAGAGACACGTGAAGAAACTGCGCTTGTCTTTTGGTCGTGGACTGGGTGACACAGATGTGGGTGAGACCCGTGGGGAGGTGACCATGGCAGCTTTTATCTTGATGTTGATTTTGCTCTTTTCCTTCCGGGCTTGTCCAGTTGTTTGTGACCCTTTTCTGTGGGTCCCCACTGGAAGATGCTTTAGACTTGTGGCAGGCTTTGGGGCCTTGTTCTGGGCCAATCCCATATGGATGGACTTTTACCCACGAGGGGATGGGTAACTCTGGATGCTTCATCTAGAAACTAGACTCTTTGTCTTACCTGTATTGTTTCCTAGTTTTATTAAAGTTCCTTCCCATTAAAGTCTCATATGTTTTGTGTTGATGCGGCGGATGACAGAACCCATGTAGAATAGGCAGGTTTGCGGGGTTTGGGCTGCCCCTCTCCCTGTCCTATAACAGATTTGGCGTCCAACGTGATTTAGGACAGAGCCATCCGTGGTTAGTCAGCCCCATGGGGAAATTGGGCTTCCCTATGGCACTGGCTACCATAAGCGCAAATGTGATTTTTGGTTTCTCCGGTGTGTTTGTTTCATATGGACAATGCTGCTGACTAATTGTTGCTTCTCTTACACACATTGTAACCCCGAAAAAAAGACTGTCTCCTAAGACTACACCCTGAAATTGT